GAATATTAAATGATCACCGTAACGATCGCTCTTTATATATTCATGAAAAACATTTGTCGACAATGTATAATTAACGCTTATTTTTCGAAAGTTGAACGAGAGCTCCTGTTAGATAGACTTTTTTCGAAACTTTTTATCTTTTCTTTTCTTTTTTTTTGCCTCCCCCCACCTTATAGAAAAAAAATAATGGAAAATATCGGCATTTTCGCGAATGTTTGTATTCTTTCATTTTACATTCCATTCGATTGATCGAAGATTTTAGCAATCATCTTCCATTCCATTGACATGGTTCGCTAGTAACGATAATCGAAGGTTTTAAAGCGGAAGTAACGATCTTCGTTTAATAACTGATCGTAGCAAAGATTTATTTGTTTAATAACGCAGCGATGTAAATATATTTGCGCCGAAATATACAAACTTAAATAGATTCATCCGCGTATGTATGTCTTAATATAAGGAAAATTGATCTATTCCTGATATAAGAAAAATTCCAATGCCACGTAATCTTTCTCGCATTCGTGGACGAGTGGACAAGTCGTATTCAGCTTTCCAGTCAACAGCAGGAAAAGTATTTGGCCTAAACTTTCTAAGCCGTTATCGTGGCGTGCGTAACGAAACGTCTACACGTACACATCCGCAGAGCGCGAACTCGTGAATTTGGGCTTCAAGGATTTGCAATATAATCGTTATATAATTGCCACGAGGCTGGTCGTCTTCGCGTCCACGAATGACCTAGCCTATTCAGATTTTGTTAATAATTTCGAACGAGGAATTTAAAATTGGGGAGCTTCCCTGGAATTAATGTTCAACTACAGGCATCCCTAGTAATACAAACAAGTAAACATTGCGATAATTATCATGTAAATTGGTAGTGATATTCACAGACTGCAAATATTTAACTTTTCCACACGGTCACTCGCGGTCAATGTGGAGTACCGTTGCACGTTTACTTATACTGTATCTACACAAACTGTTAGTTGCCGCTGCTTACATGGCAATGTGCGCGATCTCGGCGCTACAAATGCCAGTCCCTCGCTAATATTTCTTTTACGATTACAAAGAGAAGAGCCACCTAGTTGCTCCGTTAAATCGCGCGCCAACCTTCGTACTTACCTCGAACAATTCGGACTAGGTTAATTCTCTAGCGGGATTTAACCGCCTGCAATTACCCACGATGCGTGTAATTTAAATATTTTATGCTTGAAAGATGAGGCGATGCTTCGACTTGGCAGTCGCCAAGCGTCCTTATAGCCGCGGATAACTTTTAACGTGTACGAATATTTTCGTTCGAATTATTTTAGTTGGATCACTCTGGGTCGGATGATGGAACGTTGCAATGTTGCATCGCGCGGGCGCAGAAAGCCCAGGATTGTTAGGTAAGATTCTAGATCAGAAGGAGCACACGGAGGAGAGACCAAGCCTCTAATCGATATTTCTACATTCCTGCCGAAATTAGCACGAGTGAATAAACTCCTGCAATTCGATAATGCGACCACGAAATGTGATTCGTCCGTGCATACCGTGAATACGAAAGGAGGCCCAGGCCCATTCTGATTATCTTGATACGTGTGTATTACCGCTCCTGAACGCGTGTCTGGGACTCCATATATATATATATATATATATATATGTGTGTGTGTGTGTGTGTGTGTGTGT